GCCATACATGCTGAGTCCTATTCATTCAGGCATTTGTACTAAAACACCCTATGCACTCTGCCATACATGCTGAGTCCTATTCATTCAGGTGTTTGTACCCAAAGTCCTTCAGTGTAAATGTGTCCCCTGGAGTCTAGTCAGCCCATCCAGTGGTTGTACGTAAGTCATACTTTCCCTCACCCAGCAGCAGTTAGGCTTAAATAGTCCTCAATCTAGTGCTGACCTGCCATCTATTTCTCACCTCCCCTTTGGGCCCTTGTTTAACCCAGCTGACATGGGTCTTGTGTTGGATGCCACTGCTGCTGCAGGCTCACATGAGCAAGCTTCCATTGGCCTGGAAGCCTCCACCTCACATGTTCGTGAAGCAGCCCTGGCTCTTACAATCTCCTGCCTCCTCTTCTGGTGTGAGCTGTGAGCTGTGGGTGGGTGAGGTTCCATATAGGAGTCCCATCCTACACTCTACAGTCTCTTATTCTCCAAAACGTGGCCCATTGAGGCCTTCTGTGTGTATCACACTCTGATGTACAGGGAAGCCTCACTAGTGAGAGTTGAGGGGTGCATTAGCCCTCTCTCTACCCCTTATTCCGCTATGTTCCATGAGCCTTGGTTGTAGAGATTCGACTGCAGATGTGTCACCTAGTACTGGGCATCTCCCAGGTGTATGTTCTCTTCCAGATGTGCAACTCTGTAGCAGCCTCCACCTGTTGCAAAAAGAAGCTTCTTTCATGAGTGATGTATGGCATGTTTTTCGAGCTAAGGGAAGTCTCTTCTATATCGCACTGCGTTCCCTTCCAAACAGCTTCTAAGTATATATATGCATTAATGTTCAGACATTCTATGTCCATTTTTCATAGGGTTTCTAGGGTATCACTTTTCCCTCTAGGTCTCCTAGCCCCCCAAGGTTCACTCATCTCCACTCTTTTTTTCACCCATCCGGCTTCCCTCCTCCATCTCTCCCTAGTCACAGTGTCCCCATTATTCCCACTCCCCCCAATACCTCCCAACTCCCGCCTTCTTCCCGTTCCTGACTTCCCTCGCTCCCCCACACTATGATCCCTTGCATGTCCCTCCCTCCTCTCCTCCCTGCTGATTACTCACAATTTTTCCACCTCCCTCAGGTGACATCTGTTCCTACTATCTCCCTTTCAGATTGTTTCTTCTCCTTTACCTTCATGTGTCCTTTGCCTTTACCTGCTCCTGGTGTTACTTCAGAATTTATATACTCACGTATAAGGGATTGGTGCTACAATCCACAAACGAAGGAAAACATACATTGCTTTTTCTAAAGCAGACACCAGCTGCTCAGGCAATAAGGTCAACAATCAACAAGTGGGACTTCATTAAATTACAAAGTTTCTGTACAGCAAAAGAAACAACTAAGGAAGGGAAGAGGAAACCCACTGAGTGGGAGAAAGTTTTCACCAGATACACATCTGACAAAGGGTTAATATCCAGAATACACAAAGAACTCAAAAAAGAAAGAAAATAAGAAGATAAACGACCCAATAAAAAGATAGGTGATAGACCTAAACAGAGAGTTCTCAAGTGAAGAAATAAAAATGGCTAAGAAGCATCTTAAAAAGTACTCAGCATCCTTAGTAATTAGAGAAATGCAGATCAAAACCACTCTAAGATTCCATCTTAACCCAGTCACATTGACAAAGATCAAGAGTGTGAGAGACTCCAAATGCTGGAGAGGATGTCAAGAAAGAGGAACGATCATTCTGTGCTGGTGGGAATGCAAACTTGTGCAACCACTATGGAAAGCAGCGTGGAGAACTCTTAGAGCACTAAAAATGAACCTACCATTTGACGTGGTTACACCACTGCTTGGCATATACCCAAAGGACTCGTCGTACTGTAGAGATACCTGTACATCCATATTTGTTGCTGCTCTCTTCACAATAGCTAAGAAATGGAAACAACCTAAATGTCCCTCAACTGACAAATGGTTAATGAAAATGTGGTACATTTACTCAATGGGGTTCTACTCAGCAGTAAGAAAAGGATTTATTTTTCTTCAAAATTCTAATAAAATTGCAAAAGCTTAATTCAGCTGATTTGGAACTTTCTGAGTCTGGACAGTCTTTCCGGGTGGTCCTGAACTCCATAACATCATCAGTAACATTTTCCACCACTTTTTTTCCAGTTACCTGGAAGGAGATTCCTGCAGCTGAATGGAAATAATATCCCAACACTGACAGAGATGGATTCATCAAGATTATTCCAGAGCAAAGTAGGAAACCAGTGGAAACGCCCACATCCCCTACCCAGACTCACATTTCTGCCACTCCCCTCCCAACAAGCCTCGGAACTTCCTCTCTGGGTCCTATCTGGGGACAGTGAGAACTGGACCTGTCCAGCAGAGAAAGGGGAGGATCCAGGGTTATTTGGAACAGACCTGGATTCTTTGCAAGCCTGTGCCCCTGACCTGCGTGGGGAGGAGGCTCAGCCCTGTAGTCTAGCTTGCATCCAAGGACTGATGGGAGAGAAATAAACCAACAGCCATTTGAAGTCAGGCTCTTATACTTACTATTGTTAAGTTGGTGAAAAGACCAGGACCACTAGAGACCACTCTGAGGTGAGAAAAGGAGAAATTTATTGGGATGGATGAGCTGCTGGCCTGCTCCCATGAGAGAAAGGGAGCAGCGGTTTCTTGTCACAGTAGGCTGGATTTTATCGGGGGAGGTGAGACTGTATCAAGGTTTGTTGTTTTATTGTTTTTGTTTTGCCATTTTGTTTTGTTTTGTTTTGGTCTTTTTGAGACAGGGTCTCTCTATAGCCCCAGCTGACCCAGAACTCACTATATAGACCAGGCTGGCCTTGAATTCACAGAGATCCACCTGCCTCTGCCTCCCGGATGCTGGGACTAAAGGCGTGCAACACCACACCTGACGGGGAGACTACCAAGAAAGTGAGTCAGTAGCAGGTGCCTTGGAGGGGAGGGTAAGTTTTGCTTAGATGTTTTCAGTTTTTCCCCTTTGGCCACGATACAAAATTGCCGCCATAAGGGTACATTGTTAACTACTGAGAAACTAGGATAGTTTAGTTTCTGTTTCCCAGAATACTGCCCACCAGGTTGTGAACACCATGTTGCTGGTCAGTAGTGGCTCCATCTTGGGGCCCAGTTTGGCCTAACAACTGTCAACAGCTAGAACATTCTTTAACCGTGGACAGAGGCCAAGTCCCTGCACCTGAGGATCAACTTTTACCAAGACAGCTGTGGTCCTACTTCATAGAGCTGAACACCTGTGCAGAGAACAGAACCAGCTCCAGATTGTGACCCTGAACCAGCAGAGCAGGGTGAGGACTCAGAAGAATTGGTGGTGGTGACATTGGGCGGCACTGTGTACGACCTTGTTTTTGACATCCTGAGAAAAGGCAGGCCAGGACACAAAGCTAGGGCTACCTGAACCCAAAGCCTCATGATGCAGTCAGGAGCTCTCCATGTCCACAGACCCCTGCTCTGTCATGATCTCCCACATTATTCTGCCCAGACTATTCTTGATTCAACTGCACTAGAAACTAGAAACCTGATTAAAAGGTCCACATGGGGCTCCTACCTCCATGGAAATGCCAGTCCCTAACAAGCCCCAAGGATGTGATCCCCTGCCACACCTGGTTTCCAACAGTTCAGGAGCAGCCTGCCCTCTTTTGACACAGTCAGCAAGCACTTACGTGGCCCCGTTTCAACTCCAACTGTGACTCAGTGCAAAAGCAGAAGCTAGATCCCCTTACTCAAGCATCCTGGGAAAATGGCAATATTGCAGAAACTCATCCCATTTCCTGTTTTGTTGTTATACAGCTGAAAACAGCACAGTGTAAAACATCTGGGTTGCCTTTTGTGCTTGTAGAGAGGCTGATCTACATCATGGAGCCCATAGTCTTAGCTGACAGCTGGGCTCAGAAGAGCAGGTGGGGAGATGGTACTGGGATGTGTCAGGCTGCACATCCCCTCCCCTGGAAGCGAGCACGCTAGAGTTGAGGTGCAGTTACTCCTGCAGCAGCCTCTTCCCTGCTCTCCTGCCTCCAGCATCACCATCTTAGTCCCCAGCCACAAGCATGAATTGTTCCTGAACTGCCAACCACATCCATCCCTGCTGGGACCCAATCTCAAGGAGGCTGACTGTCCTTAGCCTGGGGTCTGAGGGTGTGGCTGGGTCTGCCTTAGATCAAGCTGAGTCACCAGACGTACAGATGGTTCTTTGGCTCCAGCTTCCTCCTATCACAGTGCAGTGATTTCCTCCTGCTGTCCAGAGCTCTGCACTTGGTGAGGAGACACCAGGCAGTGTCACACTGTCTCTCCTGCTAAGTGCTGTTCAAACACAGACCTGCTCAGTCACCTCTACAAGAAAAGACCAGTAAGACTGAACCATGCTTTAAGCTTAGCCAACTTTCCTAGTACTCTCTTCCTTTCCAGAAGGGTATCATAAGTTCCTCAGAGGTTCTGGGAGAACGGGGAAATTCCTATGCAGGTGTGCCTAGGGCTCCATGTAATTATAAACAAATATTCAAACAGGCAGCCAGAGTTTTAAAAGGAGCAAGTATTGGATCCCAGCCCCAGATTTCAAGCTGCTGGGGATGGTGGAAGATCTATGTGTGTTCCAGATTCCTGTCTCAGGCATCAAAAGGAAGAAGAAAGCGTCCCACTTGTTACAGAGTGCGGCAGGGCTACAAAAGAATTATTTCACAGCTTCAGTAAGGAGCAGGGCAGGATTAGAACTGGGGCTGCCGAACCCCAGAGCATCCTCAGCATGGCAGGCACTCTCAGTGTCCACAATGCCCTGGACCTACACTAGCTGCCCTCCCTCCACCCCAGTCTCTGCCACAAGCCCTGTCAGCATCTTTTCCATCTGAAGCCCTCTGCAACTTATTTGAGGTCTCCTTTGGAAGTCCTGGGACTCAGGTGAAGACTACGTCCTGTTCTGAATGACCAAGCAAAGTGAAAGGAGCTGCTGGGAAGCCAGACCTTTCTTTTACAGGACAAGAGCCACAAAAGGATGCAGGAGATCCTGTCATCAAGGAACCTCAGAGCCCTGGGCCAACCGCCGTTCCTGCTGCTGTTCCAGCTGCTGCTCCTGGAAGATTTGCTGGCGTTCTGTGAAAGTGAGCACTCGGCAGTGAGGGGACCTCACTGTGTCCCTGTGCAGTGGGGTGCAGAGTGAATCTGAAGGAACGTGTGTGCGTGCGTGGGTGTGCCTCAGCCGCAGGGGTTGATGAGAGATTTCCATGTCCCTGGCCCCAGAGACACACGGAGTGGACAGTGAGTGTCTTAGGGGCTCTGTGTGAAATGAGGTCAGGGTATGACTTCTGCAGGAACTCAGGTGGGTGTCTGTCTGGCAACAGTAACCGTGCAGAGGCTATAGAGCCATAAGCATGGGCGGGGCCTGCAGTGAGGGAAACCAAGGCCGGGTCTGGCCAGCCTTGGAAGTGGCGGAGAGAGGGAGAGCTGTGTACAAGGGCAAGATCTGAACAGGTGCTGGCCGGAGGAGGGTGGAGTCAAGGAACCACCTCAAATTACGGCTTCAGCAAACATGTTGGGTTGCTCCAAGGTTACGTTTTTGACTAGAGTTTGAATAAGATTTTTGTTAAGGCTGTTGAAGAAAGATTAGCCAGAAAAGCTTGAAAACGAGTAAACCTCGATCTGAAGTCATCTGGGTGGGAACCATTTCTTCGTGTTTATTTCACTCATTTCTTCCTCCTTCTCCTCTCCCTCTTATTTTTGCATTTGTTTTTTGTTTTGTGTGTTTGTTTTTGATGGTATCTCACCCTGTTACCTGGATGCCTTAGAACTCACCATCCTCCTGCCTCAGCCCCTCGAGTACTGGGATTATAGGTATCCACAGCCATGCCCAGATAGGTGTTCATTTCTCTCTTTTTTTACTTTTTTTCGGTCTTTTTGAGACATGGTCTCCCTGTAGCCACAGCTGGCCTGGAGCTCGCTATGGAGACTAGGCTGACCTTGATCTCAGAGAGATTCTCCTGCCTCTGCCTCCCAAGTGCAGGAATTAAAGGCATGCACCACCACGCCAGGCTTATTTGTTTTTTTTTATGTGTATGAGTGTTTTGCCTGCATGTATGTAAGGTGCACCCATGTCGTGCAATGCCCATGGAGGCCAGAAGAGGGCGTCAAAGCCCTTGGAGCTAGAATTAAGGATGGCTGCTTGTTAACCATCATGTGGGTGCTGGGAACTGAACCCAGTTTTTCTGGAAGACCAGCCAGTACTCTTAGCCACTGAGCCATCTGTCCAGTCATGGCATTAATTTCTTAATCTGAGGTGGTCCCCTCGGCTCCACCCTCCTCCCTGCCAACACCCTGCCCTTCTGCAAACCTCTCCCTCTGCCTCTTCATTTGGTGCTCAGAGCTGTCATGGTGCTCCTTTGCACTCGGAGTTTGAGTGATTATACAGAGGAGTCAACATTGATACAGGGTTTTGCATTGGGCTGTCCCTCTACTTCTGAAGATTTCGCTGCCTGGATTTCACAGCTGTCACTGGAAGCATGCAGGCTTACACCGAGAATACTTTCCTTTTGTGTCGGCGTCCCTGCATCACTGACATTCTGTCTCAAGCCATCTCTTATCTTACTAGGTCTTCAACATCCATCTTCTAGTCATAGTTTGCATTTCCATACTTTTTCCAGCCTTTTTATTTCAGGTTTTTTCTGATATTTTATTAAAAGTGTGGCTCTTGTAAGTATAGTTTTCTTCCATAGTTTTCTTTTTATAATTAGAAGGGTATTTTTCTTTAAACTTATATGACAGTCATAGTCTTTTAGATATGATTTTTCATTCAATGACGAGTATAATGATTGGTAATGTGGATTTATATCTACTATCTCACTCTGTCCCTTTTAGCTGACCAACCGTGTGTGCTGCTGTTTCTCCTTACCAGACTTTAAACACTCCACATTTTTATTAGTCTGATGCTTATACACCTCAGTATTTTCAGAGTCATTACCAAAGAGATGACTGTACCTGTTAGCACTGTACCTGTCAATAGTTTGGTAACTATTAACAAATTATCAATCAAGGCAACGCCCCCACAGGCATGGCCACAGGGCCCATCTGTTCTGGGAAATTCTTGAAGTTCAGGTTCCTTCTTCTCAGATGAGTGTAGGCTTGTGTCACGGAACCAGCTGAAGCCAACCATGACGTCAGTAATTGCTCTTTCGCCTCCCCTTCCTTCCCCTCACCCCCTTGTTTCTACCCCCTTCTCTTCTACCTAAACAGTTTCTAAGTTTTTCCTTTAGCGCCAATCAGCTAGGCGTGATCATACACACTTTGTTTCATTTTGTTTTTCTCAGACTATGTTCAGTTTGCTTTCCCGCTGGACATATGTTTGTACTGGTTATAGAACTATTTTTTTTACAGTACTGAGGCTTTACTTAGGGCCTGGCTGCCTCACAGAAGCTGAGACTCTGGGAGTGGCTCCGGTCATGAGGCTTCATGACTCAGCAGTCCCATCTGGCCCTGAAGGCCTGGAGGATTCCTGGAGAGCAGCTGATCTTCACTCCATGTTGGAAGGCTCAAGAACCTGCTTCTAACGTCAATGAAGGAATCAGCAATGGCAGCAACAGAGTAGGTGAACATGCCAGTGAGCAGTGAGCAGTGAGCGTGACAGCAAGCAGGCAGAAACAAGGCTGCCCCCTTCGCTGTCCTTATATCTGGACAGTCACCAGAAGGTGCCACCCACATTTAGGGTGGCTCTCCCCACTTCAAATAATCTGAGCAAGAAAACCACTCAGACCCATACGGCCCAGATCTACCACTCCCTGGTATACCAGAGGTCACGATGTCTTACTGCAGAAATACTTGCTGATCCATGTTCGCTGCTGTCCTTTTCACAATAATTAGGAAATGGAAACCACTTAAACACCCTTCAGTTGATGAGTGGATAATGAAAATGTGGTACATTTACACAATGGAGTTCTGTTTAGCTATAAAGAAAATGCAATCATGAAATTTGCATGTAAATGGATGGAACTGGAAAATATTATATTCAGTGAGGTAGCCCAGACCCAGCAAGACACACACCACATGTTCTCTCTTATTGGTGGATCCTAGCTCTGAGTTCTTAGATTTGATTATAGAACCTGAAGGAACTGCAGAGTCAGGATGGTAGAAAGGGACCATAGGGGGAGGGGAGAGGAGGAATGTGTGTGTGTATATATGTGTATGTGTCTGTGTGTGTCTGTGTCTGTGTATATATGTGTGTCTATGTCTGTGTATATATATATGTGTGTGTGTGTGTATATGTTATATATTAGCTATATAATCCATACATATATGGTTTGAATGGAGTTACACCCCGTGGAGAGATAATACTTCCCACAAGAGCCCTAGACTAACAAAACCCCCAATTCCAGGCATGGGAAACCTCCCTTCCAGTTGTTGGTTAGGGGAGTCCAAGAGACCCCAAAACAATATAAGCTATTGTCATTGATCTTGGTTGCTTCCCAGAACTTAAAGGTAAGACCTTGTTGCTGAGACACCACACAATTCAGACATGGTACATGGGGGAATGGAGCTGGAACTGACCTGGAAGCCTCCTCCCTGAGAACTAGCTCTCATAGTATCAGAAGGTGCTACGGAAGCCTCCAGGGGAGAAAAACCGTCAACGGTCCAACCCAGGTGTAAAGCTGAGAACCACAACAATGATCATCCTCTCTTCCTCCTCCTCTTCGCCCTCTTCCTCCTCCTCCTCCTCCTCCTCCTCCTTTTCCTCCCCCCCATATTCCCCCCACCAACCGACAGGAGGGGAACATGTTCCTCTGCCATGTGCTCCTAGCATGCCATCTGCCTTGTCACAGACACGAAAGCAATGGGCCAACCTTTATGGGCTGAAACTTCCAAAGTGTGAACCCAAAGAACATACATGTTTTTAATATTTTTATATTATTCATTATTGGGAGGGATGCATGCATACATGCCACAGCATGTATGTAGAGGACAACTTTGTGGAATTGGTTCTCTCCTTCCACCTTTGCATGGATACTGGGGATCAGACTCCAGCATTAGGCTTACACAGCAAGTACCTTTACCCAGAGCCATCTCACCAGCCTGTATTCTTGTTGATGATCTCAGGTATTTTGTTTGAGTGACAGAAAGCTGACTGGTAGAAACTCCTTGATAATCAGCCATAGATCCGTCCTTCTTTGTATGTCTGTATTTGTTAACTGAATTCTCTGTATAGCATAAAATATTCAGATTTTTAAGTCTTTTTTTATTTATGCACATGTGTGTTGTTCTGGTTACTTTCTATCACTGTGATTAAAAACACTGGCCAAAACCAACTTGGGAGGAAAGGGTTGATTTTATGTTACATCTCCCAGGTCACAATTCATCACTGAGAGAAGGAGCTCAGGGCAGGAACCTGGAGCACAGACCATGGAGGAGTGCTGCTTGCTGGCTTGTTCCTATGATCTGTGTTCAGCTTGCTTTCTTTTACAGCACAGGACCAACCTGCCCAGGGGTGGCACTGCCATCGGTGAGCTGGGCCCTCCCACATCACTCAGCAAGAAAAAAAATGCCCCCAAAGACATGGCCACAGGTCAATCCCGTGGAGGAAAGTCCCTCCACCCAGGTGTATCAAGTTGATAACTGACACTATCCAACACCTGTGTATTCCACATGTGTAGGCACTTGTGGAGGCCAGAAGAGGATGTCAGATGCCTTGAAGCTGGAGTCACAGGTGTTTATGTCAGGGCTACCCAACATGGACACAGGGGACAGGACTTAGGTCTTCCTAGAAGAGCTGCCAGGTCTACTAATCACTGATCCATTCCTCCACGCCCCCAAACACACACATTTTACCCCTGTTCTTACTGTCCTCAGGATTTCTGCATGTACATGTTCATGTTCATGAACATTTCTCATGTTCAGCACTCAGCACAGGGGCGATCACCTGACAGTCAGGAAGGAGCTGGGTCAGCATAGAGGCTGCAGTTCCACGGGATTCAGTCTGTGCAGCTGGGGATCTGCCTGTCATTCCTTTGTCCGTTTCCATCCAGATGCACATGTGCCAGCTCTGCTCCCCTGAAAGTCTCTTTAATCTTCCAGCTTAATCTTCTGTCTGCCACTCTTTTTTGTCCTCCCATCACAAAATACTCCACTTGGGTCCTCACTCACTCCTGAGACATGGCAGCCAGAACAGTTTGATGTCAGTTCCTTAGGCAGAATTGGAATTCATGATCCTGGCAGGCATGTCACCCGTCTCCTCCTCCCTCAGGAGCCCACACTCTGCGCTATGACCTCCTGGCCTTGTCTCAGGAGGGGTCTGGGGAGCGCCAGTTCCTGGCCCTGGGAAACCTTGATAATGAGTGTTTCCTGTGCTATGATGATCGGATAGCAGAAGGGCAGAGCCCTGGTGGCTCAGGATAAAGGGACACATGGGAGCTGATACCTGGGAAAGAGAGACTGAAGACCTGCAGGAGAAGGAACAGCAGCTCAGGAGGATGCTGGCAGAGCTCATGGGACATCAGACACACCATAGGGGTGAGTGCTCAGAACTAGAAGTATGCAGGTCCAGTGCTGGTCTCTGAAGCCAGGGTGGGGTGCTGGGCCCACCCGGCTGGGTTAAAAAAAGCAATGAGGCTTCTCTGACAAGCACCCCACACATGGGATGATCAAAGTACGGCCTTAATTCCCAGTAGGAGCTGAACACTGGGACAACAAAGTGACAGGTCCCTGCCTGGGATGGCCAGGTCCTCACTCCCTACAGGCCACACTGGGCTGTGAGCTCCAAGGAAACCTCAGCACTGGAGGATTCTGGCATTTGGGCTATAATGGGCAGGATTTTCTCATCTTTGACCTGGAGACCTGCAGGTGGAAAGTGGCTGAGCCCTCAGATGACACAATAAAGATACCCCAGGGCTGATCTAGAGAAGACTTTCCTATATCACTCATGTCCTGATCAACTACGGAGGCACCTGGCTTCCATGAAGGACCACCTATTGAATAGAGATACTGATGGTAGACAGGTGGGACCACTCATTGGGTCTGGCTGGGTCTCGTCATGGACTCTGTGAGGGCCAGGGCTCTCACTGGATTGTACAGCATGGCACAGCCTCAGGTGACACCCACACAGAAGGTGAGGGGTCTCCAGAGCCATTGCTGTGTCTCTCAGCTGGGGTACACAGGGCATCGGGCCCTCATCCAGCTGATCTGATTATGTGCCACATCTCAAAGTCCTAGAAAGGCAGGAGGGTGAGACTGCCCTCCATCAGCCTCATTCTCTGGGATGTCTATTTCCCAGAGTTGGCACAACTAGGTGGGAACTCCTGGCTGCTGGCCCTGGCTGGGCGCTAAGTTAGAAGAGAGTTCCTGACCTGGACCTGGGTGCCAAACTCAAATGCAAGTGGCCTTGTGTCAGGGGACAAGGGTCACTCTGCTCTTGTTCTGCTCCTGATTTTAAAAAGGTCAAGTTTAAATTTCATTCCTCAGTTGAGTCTTGTGACCAAAAACAGGGGGAAAAAATGTGAGAAACCAGTGTGGGGCCAGGGGAAGCGGGATGAAGGGGCCAGGGGAAGCGGGATGAAGATCCCAGTTATCAACCAGGTATCCCAAAGAGAAAAGGATCAGAACCAGAGGAAAGGACGGAAGAGATAGCACAGCAGTTACCCTAGCTCGCTAGCTTGGTTCCCAGCATCCAGCATCCACATCAGGCAGCTTACAACTACCTGTAATTCCAGGTCCAGGGCATCTGATATCCTCTTCTGGCCTCGGCTGACACTGCTCTCACATGCAAAACTCCACATACAGATGCAAATATATGCATACAATTAAATTTTAAAATTAAAAAAATAATAAGGGAATGACTAGGAGCACCGACAACACAGTGGACAGTAACAGGGATGACAGAGTTATGGGCTCCAAGTGCGAGGGTGGGGGCTATGGGAGGGGCCATTTGGGATGCAGGTATAAAGACGAATAAGGTTGTTTGGGATGTTCTATATGAAATACACACAAAAAATCCATAAATAAAAAAATGAGTTATATTCGAGGAAGAAGCATAAAAATTTGATTCATGGTAATTAATAGATATGAAAAACATTACCATTGAAATCTACCTGATGAATTTCTATCCATGCTCAGGTACCAAGGATCTCAGAAAGTGATTAGTAATAATCAGATGTGTAGAAGTTAGAGACGCATGTGCTAACATCTAAGTGTTAGTCACATTAAAAATGAGTTTTCTGTATGAAACAGTGTATTTTTAAATGAAATGGAGATCTTTTTTAAAGGTTAAAACCTCATTCAATTTTATGTCTTACAGGGTTTATACTGAGTACAATAGTGTATAACTGTATTAATTCAACACTGTGAACCTAAAAATTACAGCCAATTTTGAAAGAGATGCATCTTTGCTCTGGAAACTGTTATTGACTATGTCAATTCTGTTGTAATGAAATGTTTCTACTAATTATGTGGTTATTAAATTTAAAAAAAAAAAAAAAAAAGAATTACAGCTCCAGAAAGCAAACTGTCTTTAGGGACAGTCAGGCCTTCATTGCCCCCTGGAGGTGAAGCTGGCTTTTCACAGAAGCAGGAGGCTTATCCCACTGACTATCTCCAGCCCCTGGAGACCAGAGCAGCTCTTTGATCCATCAGTGCCTGAAAATTCAGGGGCTGGGAGATGGATCTGCTGCTCTCTGACAGCAGGGACTTCATGTGCTCTCCAAGTCACCACGTAGTAGACAACCTGATGCCCATGGAGTGTTGGAAGCCATCAGAGCTGCTTGCCAGCCTCTACCACCCTCTCAACAGTGGAGACCTGACTCCAGGGAGGTGAATATACACAGGGGGATCTTAGTGTCTGTGTTACCCAGAAGCCTCTAGTTTCTTTTGGCCTCAACCCAGCAGCTGTCTTGCTCCCAAAAGAGAATTCAGACAGGACATAGTCAGAGAGCACGTAGTTCAGAGTCTAATTAGACCAATGAAGAAGCAAGACTACATAAGAATAGATGCTTTAGAAAATGAGTGTGTGGAGCCAAGCCGGCCTGGGCCTTATATTTCCCCTTTCCCCGCTATCCTCTCCCCTCTGCTTTTCCCTCCCTTATGAGCAGGAAGCATAAGAAAGCAGCAGGGGGGGGCTGGAGAGATGGCTCAGCAGTTAAGAGCACTGACTGCACCTGCAGAGGACCGGGGTTCCATTCCCAGCACCCACATGGTGGCTATGAACCGTCCTTAACTCCAGTTCCAGGGGAATCCAAAGCCCTCCTCTGACCTCTGTGGCATTGTACGACATGGGTGCACTCACACACATGCAGGCAATACACTCATACACGTAAAACAAATAAACATAATAGCTGGGTATGGTGGCGCACACCTGTAGTCCCAGCACTTGGGAGGCAGAGGCAGGCAGATCTCTGTGAGTTCAAGGCCAGCCTGGTCTACATAGTGAGTTCCAGGACAGCTGGGGCTACAGGGAGACCCTGCTTCAAAAAGACAAAAATAAATAAATAAACATAATAAATATTTTTTAAAAAAGAAAGCAGCATGATTTCCTTAGAAGTCCATTTTACCCAGAATTCTAAGTAAATGCATAAGATGCAGGAATATGTGTTTGGATTCCAGTACCCTTAAAGTTGAGAAGTTCAGTGGAGCAAACGGTAAGAGCAGTCAACACATGCCCCCCTAGGAGGAGGTCCCTGCAGTGTTAGGATCTGACCTAGCTGGCAGAGAACCACCACAGATGGTCCTGAGCTGGCTTATCTGAAGTCAACCACCACCCTTCTATATCCTGAACAACAGGCAGTCACCAGCGTTATTGTTACATCCTGTTTCAGGATCCTGCTGTTCTTTGTATACTAATTTGGGGACCCGTTGGTCTGTACTTACCAGAGCCAACTGCTAGTTAGTTTCTGACCCTTGTCCCACCACACAGAGGGAGAGAAGAATCCTAACCACTCACTGGTCTCTGTCTTGTCTTTCCAAGGCCCCCCAAAGGTGACTGTGACCCACAGGAATTACCCAGTGGGCAGGATCACCCTGACATGCCAGGCTTTTCGTTTACATCCTCCCATGGCCACTCTGACCTGGTTTCAGTATGGGAAGCCAGTGCAGCAGTGCACATCTGGGCTTGGGGCTGTCCTGCCCAGGTGGGACAGGACCTACCAGACCTGGGTATCCATACAGATCCTTCCTGGAGAGGAGCCGAGGTTCTCCTGTCACGTGAAACATAGCGGCCACAACACCAGGATACCTGCTGTCTTTGGTGAGGAACTGGAGGAACTTTGGACATTAAGGTGTAGGGGGCAGGGTCAGAAATTGCCTCTAGAACACAATTACCTACACTTTTCAGGGTGGACTCCAGAACATCAAACCAAGGACACTTGGGGTGTCACCAACGCTGCTGCTGCTCTGGCTGTTTCTGTTCTTCCTGCCACACTGGTGACGCTGACCTGGGCCTAGAGGAGCCAGAACACAGAAGATGGAAAGGATCCAAGTGAGAATCTGAGGGGAAGGGACAGAGATCCCCCACCCCCTGGTAATTATTTACTGCACGCATCAATCTTCTCTCCTGCAGGGGCAGGACTAGAACAGACAAGTCTTTTCCTGATTGCTTTATCAATCACATACTAGAGGATCCAGGAGAGCCAGAAACACAACTGAGGGGGGAGGAGGCGGGAGAGAAATAACCATTTATACTGTCTTGTGCATTAAATCTATATCTTCTGGGATACAGTTAGTTGAAAAGGAGGGAGAAGTGTTTCTTTATGGAAATATTCTAAATTGCACCATTAGAAAGGTAGATCCATATTGCTGATGGGCCATTAAGAAGTAGAAAAATATAAACAGCTTCCATAAGGAATTTCCATAAGCTTTTTTCCAGAAATTTCAAACAGAAAAAAAAAAAAAAAAAAAAAACCTCTCGCAAGCCAAACCGGGAGCTGTGGAGTCCTGTTAGAAAACGTTAGATGGAGATGGACCAGAGCGACGTGAAAATGAAAGACGAGAGTCCGACCTCAGGGCAGATTGCTCTTTATTAGAATAATGAAGGACCACGGTTTCTCCCCAGGATCAGAAACTGGGCTCTGATGCAGAGTTGGTCTGAGTTTTTATGGAGCTGTGAGAGAGGAAAGACCAGGTATTTTTCTGAAGTCTTTTTTTTTTTAACAGTGTGAGAGTTTGGACCAAGGGCTGCTGTTACAGTTTGGGGGTTTGGGACAGTGAGCGCTGCCATATGATTTCCCACACAGCACAGTCACTGGCTTGGGGATTCGGGTTTCTCACAGTTTCTAGGCTGGGGGTTTCTCCACAGCTTGGGCTTTTCCAAACTGAGACATTTATCCTTCACTGTCACCTGACACTTTATCAAGAGAGTACACTGGAAGGGCGGAAGAGACGCTCAGCAGTTAAGAGCACTGGCTGCTCTTGCAGAGGACCCAGGTTTGGTACCCAGCACCCTCATGGCAGCTAAGAACAGCCTGAATTCCAGTTTTAGGTGCTCCAACATCTTGTCTGGCCTCCATGGGCACTACATGACATACATACATACATACATACATACATGCATGCAAAACATCATACACATTAAAAATAAGTAAATATTTTTATTTTTACTGAGTGTTTGTGCACTTCATATACTAGTTCTTAATCAAATTTAGCCCCCCCAGCCCCTCATAGCCCCCACCAGATTGCATGCATTGTTATATATGTTAAGTCCTATCCTGTCAAACATTTGTACCCAGATTTTCGAGTTCTGGGAGGTTATCAAGGGTTCTGACAGCAGCCTGTGTTATTTTGGAGTCTCTTGGACTACCCTGATCAACAACTTGAAAGGAGGTTTCTCCTGTCTGGCGCTGTGTTTCTTGTTATGTAGCCTTCAGGTGGACACAGACACCCGTGTTCGATATTGTGTGTGTATTTTTCAGGGGGTTCTTCAATTAATACATTTCCCTCTTTTTACACCACCTAAGCTTTATCTCTCCTCTCCCTGTCTAACCTCCCTCCTCCCTCCCCAGTTTAAGTACCCCCACTTCCCCCTTGATAATACCTGTCTCCTAGTATCCCCCCTCTCTTGAGTTCCTTCCTCTCCTTTACCTCCATGGTTCCTTGTAAGTCGTTCACTCCCCCCTTCCCGATTGAATACCTCCATTTACCCCCATTTACCCCTTGGTAACATCTGTTCCCTACTATCCCCCTCTCTCAGGCTCTTTCTTCCCCTTTACCTCCATGCTTCCTTTCCATTTTCCTGGCTCCTGCTATTACATCAAGATATATACTCACATATAAGGGACTGGTGCTAAGAGCCACAAATGAGGGAGAATATAAATGTCATTTGCTTTTCTGAGTCTGTGTTCCTTCACTTAGTATAACAGTTTCTAGTTCCAGCCATTTACCTACATATTTCATAGTTTTGTCTTTCCTTAACGCTGAGAACTCGATTGTGTAAATGCCTCCCAAGTGTTTTCACAAGAGATAGAAATATTGAAGAAAGGCCAAGCCAAAATGAAAATGGAATTGAAGAACTCAATAAGTCAATTTGAAATGACGGGAGAAAATCTCATAAACAGAGTGAATGAAATAGAAAACAGAACGTCAAGACTGGATGGCAAAGCTGAAGAACTGGACTCCTCGAGCGACTATAATTTTTTTTAAACACAGGAATGGAATATGCAGACCCTTGCTGGTGGATTCCAGGCAAAGGCTTTACCACTGAGCCAAGTGGAGAGTTTGGTGACTGGGGAAAGGACTAGAGGGATTTGTCCTGGGATATACAGTTACCTGAAGAATAAGAAGTGTTTCTTTGTGGAAATATTATAAGTTGTACAGGTAGAAATGTAGCTGTTAGCCTCATTTTGCCCAACTGATGAAAGGGTAGATCCAAGCCCAGGACCCACGCCTTCCAGCAGTGCAATTGGGAGGCATTTTGGCGCCCCCCAGTGGACACATACGAATGCTGCATCTGATGTGTTACTGGATAAGTTTTCAGGAAACACAGAGATGGAGAACCAGGTTCAACACCTTGGACAGCACTTGGGAGGCAGAGGCTGGCATATCCTTGTGAGTTCCAGGCCAGCATAGCTCACTTAGTGAGTTCCAAGCCAGCTGCAGTTAGTTATAAAGTAAGACCCTATCAGAAGAAAAACTGCATTTACGTCTCTGTAGTTCTAGCCACAAGGATTTCAGCTAGTTTCTGTTCAGCACTCAGCATGGGGGCCGATCACCTCTGTCAATCAGGATGGAGCTGGGTCAGCACCAGGGTCACAGTCCCACTGGGAGTCAGTTCTCTGTGTGGGGGAGGTCCACGGTCACTTCTGTGTGCTTTGACAAATACACTCACCCTCTCTTCCCCCCTTACCCTCTTTCCTCTGTTCCCACCTCACCCCCATCAAGTCTGACCCTCTGTCTCTCTCTTCCCATGAGAAAATACTCAGCTTAGCTCCTCACTCTTACATCCATCCCTGGTGCAATTCTTTTCCCTGGGACACAAGAACCTGGATATGTCAATGGGTTCCCCTCAGCCGCTCCCTCAGTGCAGCTGGGGCTAAAGGGAAATCCTGTCTCAAAAACACCAAAACATTTTTTTTCTTTTTTTTTTTTTCTTTTTTCTTTTTTTTTGGGGGGGGGGTTCTTTTTGAGGCAGGGTCTCCCTGTAGCCCCAGCTGTCCTGGAACTCCCTATGTAGACCAGGCTGGCCTTGAACCAGAGGTGTGCACCATCACACCTGACCAAAAAAAAATTTTTTTAATAAATAAATAAATGAATAAATAGGCCGGGCATGGTGGCGAACGCTTTTAATCCCAGGACTAGTGAGGCTGAGGCAGGAGGATCTCTGTGAGTTCGAGGCCAACCTGGTCTACATAGTGAGTTCCAGGCCAACTGGGGCTACAAGGAGACCCTGTCTCAAAAAAAGGCCAAAGATAAATAAATAGATGATTGATAGATAGATGATGATAGATTAATAGATAGATAATAGATAGATAGATGATAGATAGATGATAGATAGATAGATGATAGATAGATAGATAGATAGATGATAGATAGATAGATAGATAGATAGATAGATAGATAGATAGATAGATAGATGATAGAATCATTTTCCTGTTTGGTGGATGAACCACATCCTAGAGGCTGCAGGGCAGCCTGGGGGAGGGGAGAGAGGCAAGTCAAGCCTTCATCCTGAGGTGTGCAGTTAGTTGAAGAGGAGACAGGAGCATTTCTTTACAGAAACATCACAATTGTACAGGTGCGGAACTACATCAGCACTGTTTTCCCCCCTGATGGATGGATCCAGGCAGCCCAACAAGACTCAGACGCCCCTGGTGGATAAATGGATGCTGATTCTGGCTTGTTCCTTAACAAGTTTCCAGGAAACAGAGGCTGAGAACCAGGTCCAACACCTAGCACACCCTCAGCAAAGTCCAGATTGAGGAAAACGAAAAAGTAAGTGGACCTTTGCCAAGTACTCACACAGAACATAAATCACCAAGCAAGGTCGAGGGGAACTAGAAACCCAAAGGATGGATAAGGGCCGTGTCTGATGGTGATGTCTCCACATCATTTGGACCTTGATTGGACGCATAAACTGATACCAAAAAAAGACAATCATGAGATCCAGAGAATCACAATTCCCTGGTGAGTTGGTGATCGTGAGATATTATTGTTGTGGTTTTATTTTTTAATGTTACATAATTAACATGTTAGAATTATACACGCTTCTATATTTTGGAGAGTTTAAATTTTGAAATGAAATGAAAACCTGCACCTCAGATTCACATTAGAATGCTAGATGGGGGTGGCATGGAGGTAGTGACCCAAGAGGGCCATGTGGGTAAATGTTAAAGCTGTCTAATGTGTGTGTGTGTGTGTGTGTGTGTGTCTGTGTGTCTGTGTCTGTGTCTGTGTCTGTGTCTGCTTACTGTGAATATACCCGTAATTTTATTTACTAAAATATTTTCAAAAGAATCTCTTGGAGTGGTAGAGCACTTGTCTAGCAAGTACAACACCCTGGGTTTGGTTCTCAGCTCCAAAAAAGAGATCAAAAATTGAAAAAGAATCATTTGTTGTGACTCATAGGCATACTCTAGATCCTTGACAAATATGGTCCCCTGATGTCATCACATAATAAGATAAAAATGTAGAAAGTCCTACACCAATGTCCTAGTTACTCTCTATTTTCTGTGGTAAAAACACTGACCAAGAACTCAGGGCAGAAACTTGGAGGTCCAGGGGTGGCCTCACGCACAGTGGGTTGAGCCCTCCTGTATCACACAGCAATCGAGACAATTCTCCCACAGACATGGCCACAGGCCAGTCCAATGGAAGAAGTTCCCTTTTCCCAGGCATGTCAAGTTGACAACTGAAGCTATCCAGCACAAATAGAAAACAGAAAAAGGGAACTGGGCTGTTTTATTAGGAACAGAGTTACTCCACGGATTAAAAGGCAAATGTGGAAGTCTGGAAAGAACTCATAACTTGAGACCATGTGACTAAATAGACAGATGAGACAACTTCGTATGGATTTTTATCTCTAAAGCAAAATTTTAAAATGCAACAATAACAATAAGTCAAAGGTGGAAGAAAACAACAGAAATTATTATTTGTAAGTGTACAGTAGTGTCAACAAAGTGCGAAAAGTTATCTCTATTCAACCATCAAAGGGGACGTACTCCAGTCTCTAAGAGACCACTATAGTTGATAAACGTTCACAGTGAAAAGATCATTGCTAGGAAACAGTGTGATGTTGCTGTGGTCTGAACCGTCCCCCATATTTACTCATAGGAGCTCCTTCCTGTATGTGAAGCTGTGAACTTGCATGAAGATGAGCTCACAGGGGGGCCACGTGTGTGGGACTGGTGGCCTTTGAAGAAGACCCAGACCATGACCAGCGTGTGAGGACACAGCTAAAGAAACCAGCTATGAGCCAGAAACAGACCTTCACCAGACACTGAATGTGGTGGTGGCTTGATTTCAAACTTCCCAGGCTCCACAACTTTAAATAATAAATTTCTATCATGTAAAAGGCACCCAATCTGCACCATGTTTTTCTATCGCAGCCTAAATGTAGTAAAACAGCCACAGAGAATTTCATTAAAGAAAAGGCCAGAACAGAAAATAATTTGTCATAATATAGGTGAAAAATACTAGATGTAAACAGGCCAGATAGATTAGCAGTTGCATTAAACATAGATGACACGTGATTCATGTAAGTGACTAAGATTGCCTACCTAGGGCTAAAAAAGAAAAAGAAAAAAATCCTGCTCTAAGTTGCTACAAGAAACACAGGTTAGGTGGGCGTGGCGGTGCCACCTTTAATCCCAGCACTTGGGAGGCAGAGGCAGGCGGATCTCTGTGAGTTCAAGGCCAGCCTGGTTTACATAGCAAGTTCCAGGTTAGTTGGGGCTACAGGGAGACCCTGTCTCAAAAAGACCAAAAGCAAATGAAAAAGAAAGAAAGAGAGAAACAGAGAAAGAGAGAAACAGAGAAAGAGAGAAAGAGAGAGAAAGAAAGAAAGAGAGAAAGAAAGAAAGAAAAAGAAAGAAAGAAAGAAAGAAAGGAGGAAGGAAGGAAGGAAGAAGGAAGGAAGGAAGGAAGGAAGGAAGAAAGGGAGAAAGAGAGAGAAAGATAAAGAGAAAGAAAGAAAGAAAGAAAGAAAGAAAGAGAAAGAAAGGAAGGAAGAAAGAAAGGAAGGGAGGGCTAGAGAGATGGCTCAGCAGTTACGAACACTGGTTGTTCTTGCAGAAGACCCAGGTTCAAATCCCAGCACCCACATGGCAGTTAACAACTGTCCATAACTCCAGTCCCAGGGGATCCGACAGACTCTTCTGACCTCCTCAGGCATTGCACGACACGGGTGAAATTACCTACATGCAGGCAATACATGAATACACATAAAGTAAAAATAATAAATACATTTTTTAAAATAAAAATAAATAAATAATTTGTTTGAAAGAAAGAAGAAATACAGGTTAAACACAACTAAAAAGAAAACGAACAAGGTAAGAAACAGAAAACTGTCAAGCAATCCCACATAAAATGGGAGTTGCCAGCAAAGATGTTAAAGGAGATACATCCTTAGAGATCAATAGAGATACTTTGGAGCCCTCAACAATACTTTCTGCATGCTGCACATACACTGCACATACATAGAATGCTCCACCCAAACACAGTATTAGATCACACAGGGTCCCCAGATGCACCTCGAAAACTTCCATTATTGACCACCACCAAACACACAAAATCAACCCTCAGTAACTGTAAAAACACCAGCGATAGCAGATATTCCTGTGAACTCTAATGGGGTGAGTCTGAAGTCAGGCCAAACAACCGTGCTATAATCAGGAGTTGTAATAATGGGGGCCACAAGAAGCCAGGAGTGTGTTGGGAGGAGCACTGGCATGCCCCTGCCACCCACCTTTCAGAGCCCTCTGTGTGCACAGGCTGGGAACCTCAGATGCCCTTCCCAGGCCACCCAAAATCTGGGCTTCTGGATCCATGCGGAGGTCTGAAGCCAAGCCAGGGAACCTGGGAGTGTTTCTGCAGGGGCCTATCCTGCCAGAAAACAGCTCTGAATTATGAGCCGCCATTGGAGCTGCAGACGTGTAATCAGGTCCTGATGCAGCTCAGTACATGGCTCTGGTTCCATTCTTGGAGGCACAGCCTGGACCATATAGGCCCTGGATTTACTGTTCTCTGTGGATGACCCACCAGGGCGGGAGCTAGGCCTGACCATCAGGACATGCTCAACAGAAGGCCCACTGCAGAGAACAGAGTCAGTCCCTGGAGTCCTGAGCTTGTGGTTCAAGATGGGACTGACAGAGAATCCTGTCTCCCTACAGAAGAAAGACCTTCAAGCCCTGAGGACCCCGGGCCCCTCCTTCCATACCTGACATTCTCTACCACATCCCGGCCAAGCCCCTGGACGGAGTTTACTGAGACCAGAGGGAAGCCACACTTCCATGCTGCAGGATGATTCATAACATTTTTCCCAGACTCAAAATCCACCCTCAATAATTGTAAAAAAAAACAGTGAATTGAACCCAAGGAAAATGTCCCTGGGAGCAGTCAATGTCTACAGCCCCCTGGCTCACATACCTGCAGCCCAGCTCTGCCAGCCCACGGAGCAGCTTTGGGAACTTCTTCCCTGGATCCCATCTAGGATCCCATCTAGGTCTGAGCACAGGGCCTACCTGCCCTTCCCAGAGGTCGGGAGCAAGATGTTTGGTGCTCCCTGAAGTGCAGCCCAGGAGACCTGGGTCCTAATCCAGCCTGTGCTACTGACCAGCAAGGGGAAGTCAGCACCGTGCAAAAAGTGTTTTGACACCTTGAGAAAAAGCAGGAATAAGACATCAGTCTAGGTCTCCCTGACCCCAGAACCTCATGATGCAGATTCTGGGGCTTTAAGCATCCATGGACTCACTTCATTGGTCCCTTAACCTCTCAACAGCTCTGAAAGACCAGCTGTGTCATGATGCACATGATTTTATTGCCCAGGATCTTCATTCAGATGCACTAGAGACCCTGAACCCCAAAGATCTTGAACTCCCCACTTTATCCCACTGTGCCTCAAATCACGTCAGCCCTTTGTGCTGACACCAGAGCCTTTCTTACCAGGCCCTAAATGGTCATTTATCCAAGCGCTCAATTTCTGAGGGAGATAACCTCTGTCTCCGGATACTGACTCAGCTGAGCCACCACCAGGGAATGAACTTCTAGGTAAGAAGGAGGAATTGAATTTTTAAGCAATTCTAAATTATGAATAAATTCTATTGATTTTATTTCATTGCTATACAGAGGACCAGAAATACGTGGCCAGTGTCAGCTCTCAGGACACACCCTCCTCCTGCTTAGCTGTGTTCCAGCTGGGGACACAGAGGGATGACCTCCACCAATGGACACAATGGGCAGCCCCCTGCATGGGTCCTTTATGGGTTCAGGACTGGACTTTGAAACGGGCACCTCAAAGTCTATCTGTTCTAAGATATCACCTGTGGTCCCATCTGTAGGGAGGAACCGCATATACACACCACCACCGGATTGTTTGTTCTGAAGTAACATCATCATCCATCAAAGATTGGAGGAGATGACTCAGTGGCCTTGCCGAACCCTCTCCTGCAATGAAGAAGATACGATAGAGAAGCAACACCATAAATCTCAGAGCCAAGGCTGACCACCGCCCATAGGGGCCAGACTAAACCTTCAATGGTTGACAGTCTTGGCCTCTCCTCCCTACGTGAGCTCCTAGCTAAAGCGGAGATGGAGGCAGATCTTTAGGGTGTTAACCCACTGCCTCCTCAGATTGCTGGATCTGAATAAAACACAGCTTAGAGATTAGGTTTCTACCTGTGTTAGGCAGCACAAACTGGTTAATTTCCTACAGAATTCCTTAACCTTTCCTTTGGATGGCATCTAGCTAGAAAATTAACAAAGAACCAAGAAAGCATTACCTGTGTGTGCATCTAGACTGCTTCCTACAGAAGGAAGGACTCCTGTGCTCTTAGGTGTTGACTGCGAAGAGAGGGTGTCTCTGTCAACACAGCTTTCTAAAGAACAAAGGAATTTTCCCTGGATCATGATTTCAGAACATTTCAGACATTCTTCCTTTCCAGGTTACTGAAGTCTGGACCAGTAACAATGGAGACTCCTCCTCTTGTGGTGTTTCAGCCTCCACCAAACCCGACTATCCTCAGCCTGGTGTCCACAGGACTAGCTGGGTCTGCCTCAGATCTGGCTGGGACACCAGGAGTGCACACAGAACCGCCAGCTTCCTCCTCTGGCAGCGTGCGGCTCAGAGCTTGTGAAGAGACAGCGCTTGGGGAGATTCCCGTCCACACATCTCATCCCGCTGCTGTTCAAACACAAACCTGCTACAGACAGACCAGTAAGGCTGAACCTTCCCTTCAGCTTGGCCGATTTCCAAGTGCTTCCCTCCTTTTCAGCTGCATTTCATGAGTGTTAAACACAAATAAGGTTCAGTGAGGTCAGAAGAATCCATGTCAGATGTGACCTTTGTGTGATATTTGACCAGCAAGCCAGGGTCTAATACAGGGAGCAGGTGACCAATCCCAGGTCCAGAAGTGGGCTGCTCTGACTGGTGGAGGGTCCGTGTGTTCCAGTTCCTGACCCAAACAGACATCAAGGGAGGAAACCTTCCTGCTTTTTACAGAAAATGCAACAGGGCTCCCTGCAAAGGATTTATTTCACATCCTCAGCAAGGTCCAGGGCAGGATTGAAAAAGGGCTGTGTGACCCCAAAGCATCCTCACTGTGCCAGGGACTCTCAGTGCCCACGGCAGCCCTGGACCTGCTCTGAATGTTCTAGAAGCCCAGCCCCTTCGCACTCAGGATCTCTTCCACTCACATCCTCTGTACAGTCTTCTAATCAGATGGGTGGAACCTGGAATAAGGAAGGCATATAAAGTGAAAGTGGACGCTGGACCTCGACTTCTGTTTCACAGGACAAGAACCAGCACTGGTGAGGATGGTGTCCCGGGAACCCAGCGCCGTGTGCCAACTGCTGCTGCTGTTGATCCTGAAGGATTCACTGGGGTCGTCTGCAGGTCAGTGCTGAGCTGGGAGACCTTGCTGTGCCCTGTACAGTGAGTGTGGTGTGAGTCTGAGGGTATTACCAAACTTGGGGTCTTTGCCACAGGAAGCCAAGTTCCACCACCCAACCACAAGAAGGCAGTTAAAACCACCAAATTAATAGTAAAAGGCAGAAAAAAGATTTTATTTAAAATGGCCACATTGGCAAGTGGAACTAGTGGATCTAGTGACAACTCCTGTCCATCGTCAGGGTCAGGAAGTGAGATTCAGGTTAAATGGAGGATCGGGGATGTGCATCTCAGCAGACCCAGTCTAGGTGTGCCCACCAGGACCCATCATGCTCTGGGCTTCGTCTCGTCCTGAAGGCGGCCTGACAAGCTGTTAGAAGTCAGTGAAATCCCTTTCCCAAGGGACAAAGTTCCCCTTCTGTTTGGTTGTATTTTCTTCTCCTGACATGAAATTCCTGGAGAAATACCCATTTTTTAGGGTCCACAGTTTCAGTAGTCTGACAGATTGTGAGACACAGTGTCTCTGTAGAATATAGTCACTTCTTTCCTGGAGAGCTGGCCCTGCAGTGAGGAGCACTGCAGAAGGAGACTAGGCTTCACTTCCAGCACCCCAGCTAACAACCATCTGTGACTCCTGTTCCAGGGTATCTGACCCTCTCTCCTGTGCCGGTGCTAGCCGGCCGAGATGAATAGCACCTGAAAGGGGGAGTGAGGATTGAAAGAAAAACAAGAGACAGAGAAAAGATACTTGGGAGGACTGTCAGTAGAGACTGCACCCTGGTTTATTTTAGCTCAGCCTCTTACACAGAACATCAGAAACAGCCACCTGTTGCTTAAATCAGTTAGTTTCAACATCTGTTTTTCCCACCTGTAGCTGAGGGTCAAGGAGCAGTCAAATCCTTGTTGTGAACTCCACCATTTAACCATCTTCCCTAAATTATCAACACATTCCTCCTGACTTGACAGAACAGTTCAGTGCTTTTGTGTAAAACACAAACTCTTGAGTCAAGGTGAAAGATCATAAATAAGCAAGCCTGCCACAGCTCAGTGTGCATAATGGCTGTGCTTATGTCAATAGCTCCCAACATCTCCCCCTTTTTTATCTTTTAAAACCCCAAATTATGCTATATCCAGGACAGAAGGACTGTGCCTGTCTTAGGTTGTCTTCTGCTAGAGCAAAGCCTTACCCATCATCGGCACGTAGCTTCTATCAGCTATGCCCTGTCTTAGGTTGACTTTCTCCCAGAAGATCTTACCCATCTTTGACTACCGGCCTCTGTTAGGGGAGGGAGCACAATCTCATATCATACACAGTAGCCTTGACTTGCCACAAGGATTTCATAAAGAACTTTACTGCCACCAGAAGAAAACAAAGACATAGGAGGAAAAGCATGCCAAGTCCTGCTAAACCACTCACAATGGAGGTGATAGAGGACCACGATGGTAAGGTGGCTCTCAGCCTTTTTAGAATATCTGTCGCTGCTTACAGGGTGGAAATGCTTGTGGAGAAATTTTTCCCTCTATTATCTCTTGGCAGTAGCACTTTGGCATTGATACAGCATCAGCATCCACCTCGTCCCACGGCACATGGTCATCTACTTGTACACACCCAGACTTATTCTCATGTTTAACAAAATAGGCAACCAGCTTCCTGATCCTGAATAATTAAAATTCATTGCCACTTGCATCATCAGGTGTTTTGAAGCAGCTGAGCGATTAGCCAGAGTCATTCACAGTCACTATTATCTTTTTCTTCCTGTGGGGACTCAGGTTTGCTTTGCTTAGTGGAGGACCTGCTTGCTTCAGGGCAGAGGGTCTGATCGGCGACAGAGTCATAAACTCTAGGACCTGTGTCTTCCCAACAGGACATTTAGTCTGTTAGTTGGCACCAGAAGGATTCTTAAACTTTTATTCAAGGTCACCAATGCCTCTGTCCGGTAATTTATTGGCCACAATATTTTCTTTCTTAGGGCTAAAAGCATGGTTGACTTTTAGCTCAGGAGGAAACTTTTTTTTAATTTTTTGGTCTTTTTGAAGCAGGGTCTCCTTGAGTTATTTGTTCAGGACAAGGAGATGAGCTAAGGGTTGTTGACCAAGATGCTTTCCCACAGAGCAGGGAGCCTACACTTTTATGACCAGGCCACTTCCTCCTGCCAGTCTAGCAGTGTTCTACAAGACAGGGATTATCAGAGCCACTGTTTTCAGTGACCCTCCCTTTAGCAGAGAATGCAGCCTGGACCTATAAGTTTTAGGCTCACCTCACCCTAGGGCCTGGCATCCTGATTTCCTACATCTTCTCCCTTTTTGTTTTTCAAAAGTAAAAAGGAAGTGGTCATAGAGGCCACAGTATTATTAGTCGAAATTATAATACAGAGCTTAGCTATTGGAGCTCCCATAAGAAGTATGCCAATCAATATTGGGCCCGAGAATAGAGTAAGCTATTGGAGCCATTTTGGCCAGGGTATAGAAAATTCAGACACCTTATCAATTTCCTTTTGTAAATCACTAATCTGTTGGTCTATAGTATGTGAAAAATCAGACAAATTAAAACAACACATTTCTGGAAATTGTTCACATCCCATGTGATTTTTTTTAACAGTAGATAGTCTATAGTAGCTCTATTTTGTAAACCCCAGAGTTTTTTGTTCTCCCATTTCCTTATTCATTTCTCCTAGTATTTTTGCAGTTATATTTGCTGTTTTACTAGTTATACAAGCGAGTTTAGATATCTTGTTTTGCAATCCAGTTACCAAACCAGGTATGGGGGGTAAAAAGACAGAACTAACAGCTACAGTTTTTGGGTCAAGTAGCTTGAAAGAATCATCAGTCTTCAGGTAGCATTCTTATATCCTTTGTCCATCCTTTTCCCATATGATGGGTCCAGGTGGCCATGCATGGTTTTGACTGATGTTGATCCTAAAATAGGTACACCATTAACATTACTATTGATGACACACATTTCAGCTTTTACTCTATTCACAGTCAGTATAGTTAGAACACAGACAAGAAGAACTTCAGGTTTAGAGATATCTTGGCCCTGGCACTGTCCCAACTCCTGGGCATCGTTCATCAGGTTCTTAATCATTCCCCAGGTCACAGGAGGCTGTGACTTCTTCTGGCGGGGTCTCTTTTTCCTCTTCTCCAAGGTCAGCATAGCCATCTTTGCTGTGAGAGGCTCGGTTGAGCAGTCTGATGCATCTGAGCAGGGCCCATGGGGGTGAGAGGGATTCCTTTTCTCTAAAGACACAAGCATACCCTCACCCCATTGCTAGTAAAGGAGCTGGAATTTTACTCCAGAGATCAGGTTCATGGTCCCTCCAAAGCACCTGTGACAAGGGCTGTGGGATAGTTAGTCCCTGCCAGTGCTTGGCCATTGGAGAAATTCCTTGATCATTTAGTGTAAAAATAATTCAAAGTTAGTAGAGACCCGTATAATAGGAAATGAGGATTCTGTACTGCTCTCCCAGGTATAGGTGATTCCCCCATTTTCCTTTTATTTATTTGATCTTTGAGATGTTTGTGTTGTCTCTCTCTTATTGTTTTTCCTGTGGGGTTGTAAGGAATGCCAGTGATATGTGAAATAGGGAACAAACTGTTTCAGATTCAAATCAGGCTCATCAAACAAAGTGGTTTTCTTTTGGATTGTCTCATCTGATTCCAGGAGGTAAAAACCTAGTTCTTGAATTAAATTATTTTGTTATGGGTAAGGGAAAAGACTAAAAGAATGTTTGTATAATAAAAAGAAATACAAAGGGAAATTCTTTAGTAGTTGTAAGTAACTTTAACACTTGTTTGCATCCACTTAATTCCAGACTGTGAATAAATGTGTAGCAAAAGTCAGAAAGGGAGACTGAAAAAACTTTATTTTTTTCTGTAACAGTAATTATAATAACACGAACCACCTCCTTGTATGTCTTCAAACTTACTCAGACCTTTAATGAACTTGTTTAAACATTCTTATTATTTCTTCCATTCTGGAACTATCCAGTCATCTTAATCTTACTAACTATGACTTTTCAAGTCTTTATCTTTTCTTAGGCATTCTTATTATTTCTTTCATTACATTTATAAACAAAGTTAAGTGAACTTAGTAAGATAAAACTCGAAGGTTGGTTTTTTAGAAAACAGAAAACCTGGAAATGAATTTGTAGCGAGTAGAAAAACTTAAAACAACATTTAAAAAAAAAAAATAAAGTCAACAAACAACTGAATGAAATAAAACTAAC